AAAAATCAAAAATAAAAGTCTTTGGAAAAAGATCTTGTTTCAAGTACCCAATTAAGGTTAAAATTTAGTGGCGAAGGTTGTATAACATGCCTGTCGATACAAGTTGCCCTCCATCCATGCTTTCACAGGCGGTGACTGAGCAGACGGCAGACGTTTTTGTTGGTTCCTGGCTTTTCGCACGACGAAGTTGTATTTTTGTTGTCAAGAGTGATGTTTTAGTGTTGATTTATCGTGCTGTGCATAAAGAATTGATTCAAGATGGGAAATCAAGACTCAAAGCTCAACTTCCGTAAAGCTGTGATACAGCTCACATCCAAAACTCAGGTAGGTGCGCCGTACGCTTGGCACTGAGCGTTCGGCCTGGGGCCTGTGGTCTGCACGGCCATTGGCCTGCGCTTAGGCCCTCTGCATACGTCCAGCAGACAAAAGCTTCATGCAGTGTCTATGACGGATTTTCTTCAAGAAAAGAAAACGTTATTCCTTCCCGCAGCTATAACACTTGCTTCATGTCGATTTTTCCTCCCCTCCTTTAAGGAAACACTTAATTTAATGGCTGTGCCTGTCTGAAGGTTTGTGCTGTAGATAGGCCTACTCATTTAGGGGGGCTAATGGTACTTGTACTCAAATCGCAGTTTGAGCCCCACTGATGCCGCTTTATTGCGTTTATATTCGCAATAATTGTTTCTTTTACTCTTTTCATAACTGCGCCAAACTTAAACAAGTCGCATCATTTTCCATTGACCTTTCCTTGGACAAATGTGCTTCAAAGCGGTCTTCAAATGATTTCATTCACCATAAGCGTTTACACTATTATTCTGGTTTTATTTCTACAATACTGAATGACACAGTTATCAACATTCTTGTATTGAAGGAAGGAATGGAGGGCATTCTTATCTTATCTCAAACTGTGGTATTTGTCAGAGGTTCTTTCTTTTCGCATGTCTTTTAAGCTGAATTCTTGGTTGTGAAAGCTGTAGTCAAAGCATTGGTCACTTTTGAGTTATTACTGAGCCTACCCATCTGTTTTATTGTATTTGCTTTTTTGACCTCTTTAAAGTAATGTCATCTGTGGTACAGTATTTATGAGTTTTAGCTTTATTCATATTTCTTTGGTGTAGTTTTGTTAAATGTTATTTCTTATCAAAATTGTAGTGACCAATGCAAAGCTTTTCTTTTTGACCAATCAAAATTTTGGTGTTCTCTAGGTCCTAACCCATTTTGTAAAATTCAATAGCTACACCAGTTTTATTATTCCTTTAAAGTAGGAAAGTCTTTTAACTACGGGAACTAAACTTTTCCTGCATGAGCTATTTTTTTAAAATGTGATTCTAATTGGTTATTATTGGATTGATGAAAAACATATGCGTCTGAAAGACTAGCGACAAATTGAAATTAGTGGGTAGAGCAAAGGGCTATTGTTGGTTTTCATGGTGGTTTAATGTGTAGAATAGCAAGCAATATTTCCTTTTTACATTTTATTCAGTTGTGGCATGATGTTTAGTTTGTTTTGAATCATATCCATTTGATCAGTAATACTCAGTTTGTTTAAAGTAATGGTCCTTTTATTAAATGAAGTTGAATTTTGCATTAGTTATAAGAGTTGATTTAGTGGTTTGAAAGTTTGTTTGGTGATATGACTTGACTCACTGTTGGAATTACATGGAAATAGCTTGATCTGCACATTACTACTGTGTGTCTCTGTGTGAGTGCGTTCCGTGCAAATTCGATTTCTGAATAAAGTCTTTGAGAACATATGTGTGTGTGTATGTGTGTGTGCATGCAGTGCTGTAGTGGACTCTTTGGATGGTCATGTTTTCTCTTTGTCGACCGGTTCACTACAAGTGCTTATTTTTTTTGTACATATGTGTGAAAACCACCAAGCTCTATTGCTGTGCCCCTATACATTTCGAGCAATATTAAAACTAGATTTTTACCTCTGGCAAACTTACTTTTGTTGTTTGCAATTTTTTTAAATGCATTTGTAGCAAAATTTCTTGTTTTCTCATATGTGTTAGTGAAAGAATTGTTATCTATTAAATTATTACCAGCCAAACAAGTGCTTGTTTGGCTGCATAGGAAGTTTAATGAAATCCGGTCGTCGCCGGCATTAAATGGAAGAGACCAAGTGGGCAAAGAGTGAAAACTGAAAACACGTCGACAAAGAGAAATATTGACAGGAAGAAGAGAGCACCTTCTTGAAGTGTAAGTGTATTCACATTTTGTGTATAGTCAACCCCTATTTTAAGCAGTCAAGACTCTTGGTGGTACTTTAAATTCGTTTTCCTTTTTATTATTACTAACTGACAGTTTTCTATCTAACCATAATAGTGCCTCTAATTTGAGGTCATAACCCAAGTTGCATTGTATCTTTTAAAAACTGTATTCTGTATGGCGAGGGTTTTTAAAAAATTAAGATCATATTTATTGCGGACCACATAATCCCGTGTTGGCTGCAGGATCTGTGTGCAACTTAGGTAATAGATTAATAAAGCCATGCACCGATCAATCGCTTCTTTTGTCACTCTCGGTGGAAGTTTTTCACGCGGTTTCCTGGATCTCCCCCCCCCCCTTCAATGATATCTCGGTGGTACGCGTTATCTCCTTATCATTATGTCCATCATGCCTCAGGAGAAAGACAGAAAGAGTTCCTTTATATCCCCCACCCCCGTACGGACCCATCAGAACAGCGATGCCCCATCTGTTGCCCGTCCAGCGGATGTTGTTTCAAAGCCCATCTCGTGCCGTGCCGCATCTCTGTGAAGCTGAGGCTCCCGTCCCCCCAGTACCTAAGTTGCACTCGGATGCTGTCGCTGAGTGGTCCAGACCTCAGGCCAATGGGTACCCAATCAGTCTGTTTAATGTATAGGGCCCCTCTGCATGTTACAAAATGCATTATTTTCCCGTCGCCGAGTCGCGTTTGTTCTGACGCTCTGCCTGTTCATCCGCAGGACCAGGATGTCTGAGCCGCCCCCGAGGATCCCCAGCCCGACAGCGATCGCGAGGCCCGACGACGATGCGGACGAAGAGGAGGCGGCCCCCGGCCCCGGCCCCGGCGCCGCCCCCGGCCAAGGCCTTGTTCACGGGGGCGTGGGGGCGGGCGGGGGCGGGCTCACGGTGCAGGACGTGGCCGCGCTGCTGCGCACCCAGTTCGCCGTGATGACGGGAGGCCGCACCCGGGACGGGCAGCCCATCGTGACTTTCCCCGGGTCCGGCGCGCAGGCGGTGCTCTCCGACCAGGACTTCCAGCGGCTGGCGTTGTACCTCACGTCCGTGCCGTCCATGCAAGAGGTGGACGCGGGTTTCGTCCTGGTGGTGGACCGTCGCCGCGACCGCTGGAGCTCGGTCAAGGGCGTGCTGCAGCAAGTGTCGACCGCGTTCCCGGGCCTGGTCCATGTCGTGTACGTGCTGCGGCCGTCCGGGCTGCTGCAGAAGGCCATCAGCGAAGTCAGCAACAAGCTCCTGCCCCGCGACGAGTTCAAGTTCCCCGTCGTGGTGTGCTGCTCGCTGGAGGAGCTGCACCTCGCCCTGGACCGCCGCGAGCTGAGCGCCGACCTGGGCGGCGACATCGCGTACAACCACGAGGAGTGGATCGCGCAGCGCGTCGCTCTCGACAAGTTCTCCCGGACGACGCGGGACGTGTCCGCCGCCCTGGACAGCTTTACGCGCAGCGTCAGCGACCAGCCCGAGCTCGACACGGTGGAAGGGCTGAGCGCGCAGCTGCACGCGCAGGGCCAGCAGTACCTGGAGCTCAAGGAGGGCATCCTGGACGCCGCCAGGTGCGGCGAGCTCTTGCTCAGGGACATCCGGCGCCCCGGCGCCTCCCCCAAGGAGCGCGCCAGCCTGGACAGCGTGACGAGTGTCGAGCGGCTGCTCGTACAGCTCGAGGAAACGGAGCGGACGTTTGACGAGTTCTGGCAGCAGCACTCGTCGCGCCTCAAGCAGCTCATGGAGCTGTACGCGTTCGAGCGCGGCCTCGTGGAGCTGACGGGCCGCCTGGCGCAGCACGCCGCCGCCGTGCAGGACGCGGCCTACGCGGCCGAGTCGGTGGAGGGCGTGGACGCGCTCGTGGCGCGCCTGGCCGCGCTGCGCGACCGCTGCACCGTCGACGTGGAGCGGGCCGAGGATCTGATCCGCACCGGCCAGCAGCTGGCGCAGGCGCGCCACTACGTGCTGCAGGGGCTGGAACAGGTGCGGCCCAGCTGCGAGGACCTCCAGGAGCGCTGCGACGAGATGGCGCGACTCTTGGAGGAGAAGGAGACGCTGCTCAAGGAGTACCGCGCCCTGCAGGAGCGACTCAAGCACGCGTCCGACTGGTGCACGGGTGGCGTCGAGATGCTCGCCCTGCACCCCGCGGCCGCCCTGGACAGCGCGTCGTGCCCCCGAGAGCGCGCCGAGCAGCTGGCCGAACAGCTACAGACGTTCCTGGACAACGGGCGCGACCTGATGGCCGCCTCGCCCCGCGACTTCCACCCGCTCATGCAAGACGCCAAGGTGACGAGCCCCGAGACGAGGGCGGCCGTGACGCTCGCCGTCCAGCGCCTAGCCGAGGTGCGCGCGCAGATGGAGAAGCACCTGCAGGCGGTGCAACGGTTGCACCCCGCCCCCGCCCCCGCCACAGCCTCGCCGGCTCCGTCGCCCTCGCCTTCGCCAGACCTCATCATTCACGGCGGACGCCCCAAGTCGTTGTGCGAGTCGGACTCGAAGCAGGGCCACGTCCTGACGGAGCTCGTGACCACCGAGCAGGCCTACGTGTCTGAGCTTGGCGCCATCATTCGCGGCTACAAACACGAGCTGGAGAACGACAAGTACCAAACCATGATCCCTGTCCAACTGCAGGGCAAGTCCAACATCCTGTTCGGCAACCTGGAGGAGATCCACGCCTTCCACTCGGACGTGTTCCTGCCCGAACTGCAGAACTGCGTGCTGCAGGGCGGCCCCGCGGGTGCGGCCGCGACGGCCGAGCTGGTGGCGCTGTGCTTCACGCAGTGCCGCGAGCAGCTCTTCCAGCTGTACAGCGCCTACTGCCAGAACATCCCGCGCTCCGAGGCGCTGCGCGACGCCGTGCCCGAGGCGGCCCTCTTCTTCCAGGCGTGCCAAATGAAACTCGGCCACAAGCTGCCGCTGGCCGCGTACCTCCTCAAGCCCGTGCAGCGCATCACCAAGTACCAGCTGCTGCTCAAAGACCTCGCCAACAAGGGCAGCGGGGAGGCATCCCAGGCCCTGGAGGCAGCGCTGGACTGCATGCTGGTGGTGCTCAAGTGCGTCAACGACAGCATGCACCAGGTGGCCATCACGGGATTCTGGGGCGACCTGGCCGAGCTGGGGCCGCTGCTGCTCCAGGGGTCCTTCTCCGTCTGGTCCGAGAGCAAGAAGGACAGGCTGCGCGAGCTGCGCCTCAAGCCAATGCAGCGCCACATCTTCTTCTACCAAAAGGCGCTCCTCTTTTGCAAGAAGATTGTCAACAACAAAGCGACGTATCACTTCAAGCGCTACCTCAAAATGTCGCAGGTCGGCCTCACCGAGTCGGTCAAGGGTGACCCGAAGAAGTTCGAGGTTTGGCTACAAGGCCGGCAAGAGGTCCACACCATCCAGGCGTCGACCGTTGAGCAGACGCAGCAGTGGGTCAACGAGATCAAGCGAGTGCTCCTGGAGCAGCTACGGGAGCTCAAGGGCGAAAAGATCAGACAGTACTCTCTCGTCCAGCAAAACTCTGTTCCGAAACCCCTCCTGGACCCCTCGTCTGCCAAGAGGTCGATGAGCTGCGGCGAGTCGAACGGGTCGCGCTCCACCTCGGCGTCCACCTGTGTCTCCGAGGAAGAGGACCAGTCCTCCGAGTACTCCGTCAGTGAAGACGAGGACGCTTTCTCGGAACACACTTGTGAGGGAGGACGCTACGTGTCCCTCGCGGACTACAGCGCCATCGGGCGCAGCGAGGTGTCCATGGCCGAGGGCGACGTGGTCGAGTTGCTCAAGGTGGGCTGTGCCGGCTGGTGGTTTGTCAAGGTTCAAAGTTCGCAAAGAGAAGGCTGGGTTCCCGCAGCGTTTTTAGAGCATTTCGGAAAGAAAACCTGTGTCAAATGAATCCATAGATTTGCTGAGCGAGTTGGTAAATCTTGGAGAGTTTAAAGTCTCGTACCTTGTTATGTAAGAAGGTAAGAAGTATTTCTTTGATTTAGTTTGTTCACTGTCTAGGAAAAAGAAGTGTGCTATGAAGGAAATGTGGATGGAAGTATAGGGAGAGGGGAGCTACATGCTACAACTGTTAGTCTTTGGCATGCATGGTTATTCAGTATTGCTTGGTCTTCTAAACACTGAGAAGTGAAACAAAGCCTCACCCAATCCAAGTATGGAACTTTTCTACCCCACAGGCCCAAATAACTAGAACCGAGACTAGGCTGAGGAACCTGAATATACTTAATTAGAAAGTTTGACGATACGTACTTCCTTGAAAGAACCGTCCTGTGCTGATCCTGGAAGGCTCTAGATCGTCATTCCAGCAGTTTAGTGGCAACATTTGTACCTGTTTCCATCCTACTCCACATTGCAAATATATGTAATTTCCTGTTTATTTTTTTATGTGGCTGAATATGTCTAGGGTACTAATAGTATTGTAGTGTAGGTCGCTCATCAGTTTTTGCAAGAGTTTTGAATGCTCTTTGTAGTCAATTACTAATTATGTGGACAGGCAATACTTTTGTACTTTCAGAAAATACAGTTGAAGAAATTTGATCATGGTAGTTATGTGCCGACAATACATTTATGGAAGATGATACACATCTATCCGATTACAGTTCCTCAGATTTATTCTATCTTCAGTTTTATACAACCATTTCAATTTTATTGTCAAAATGTATTGTCTGCATACAACCAATAAGCTTGCATCTGAAGAATTATAAAACACAAAACATTATGCTTCATTTAATTCTTCCCTTTCCTTGTTGTAAATTTCAGTTTACAGGGCAGTAGGTACCCTTTATTTTTCCAAGTTATGTTTGGAACACTTGTATGTGATTTGGTAAATTAACAAATTTCCACCCCCTAGATTAGCTAGGTGCTCAAAACCCTCCTGTATTTGCTCAGTATTTACTCAGTATTCACCATATGCTTTGATGTATTGTAATTTCCTTCTATACCTTTACTCTCTTCATGGGACCTCTGTTAGTATCAGCTGGACATTGAGTATTTGGTATATTTTGAATCCTTTGAATGAAGTTTTGTCGTATTTGTTTGTTGATCCTTTTGTTTGTGAGTATTTGTGTGTTCCTTTTTGACCATGTGTATTATTTTACCTGAACAGTATTAAGTGTAAAATGTATAGGAAACTGAAAGCTTTACAAAATTCGATAGAATTACGCAAATTTATAATCAAATGGTAGTTTCAGTACTCGGTAGAAGAATCAAGTGCACAAGAATGCAAAAACATCTAGTTTGAAGTACAAAAAGTTCATGCCATACAGTAGGTGAAAGTGTGATTGCTTCAAGTCTTAATGATGGTCATTTAGTTTTAAGTGTGTATGCTGTTCTCATTAATTCATAAATTTTAATTTGTAGCCTTCTCTGAAGTAATTGTAGTTTGACTGGTTTGCTTTGATCTCAGTTTCTATGTGTGTTAGTCTGGCTATCGTGTGCTATTTTCACACAAGAAGGCAGGAATGATATGTTCTCTGAAGCTTAGTGGGCACAATATGTACAGTGCTGTAAGAAGGATCACGTTCCTTTATGAACTCATGCTCATGCTGTGTCAAGTCTTTCACTATTTGGCTTGCATCTGTCTATTTTAGGATGCTCATAACTCATTGCTGATTCACATAATTTTGTTGTTGTTGTATGGATAGAGCTGGAAAGTCCAACAGCAATTAAAAATGGGATCACCTTTTATTCTTCTCTTAATTTTGATGTGGAATCATTAAATTTCCAAAAGAGCTCTTTATCTATCTACATATCTAGGTATTCCTGTGTGCCGAATGGAATGACCGAACAGTACTAGTTTCTCAACTATATACATGACCAATGAGATTTGACCAATATTCAGACCAGTCATGTATTCTTCTTTGTCTAAAACCTCTAGCACCTACACCTACCCTTTTTTTCTTTTTCAAACTGATTATCTAATCTACAGCAAATGGCATGGATTTTAATTAATAATTAATACTTAGAGTTCCCATCAGACTATATATGTGATCTACTTTATTTTGGCTAACCTCTGGAGCTATCTTGTAAATATTTCCCCCTTGCTGGATATATGGTAGTACATGGTCATGGGGTCTGTACTGAGAAGCATTTTGTACCCTGCAATAGGATGTATT